AAGGATCTGAATAGCTCAGTTGGAAGAGCAGTCGCCCGGCAAGCGAAAGGTCTCGGGTTCGATTCCCGATTCTGCGACTTTCGGATCTATATTTTTCTCTCGCACTTTATTTCTTTAGGGGGAATAGGGGATAAATGGAATTAAAAATCTCTTGTAGAGATTATTCCAATTTTATATCTTGGCCGTGTCCAAGTAAAAATTTGGTGCCTTGTGCACAGGTATTTAATTCTAACGAAAAAATTTAGTTTCGTTTAGAATAACGCACTGTCATCCGCGATTTGGCTCTTATTGCCTATCTTATATATGTTAAATTTATATTTATATATTACAGAGCCTAGTTAAACTCTTAATTTATACACGCTGGCTTAAAGGCGTTTATTTACCAACATTAATATATATAACAGAGAAAAGTATAGAATCGAAAGGATCTGAATAGCTCAGTTGGAAGAGCAGTCGCCCGGCAAGCGAAAGGTCTCGGGTTCGATTCCCGATTCTGCGACTTTCGGATCTATATTTTTCTCTCGCACTTTATTTCTTTAGGGGGAATAGGGGATACATGGAATTAAAAATCTCTTGTAGAGATTATTCCAATTTTATATCTTGGCCGTGTCCAAGTAAAAATTTGGTGCCTTGTGCACAGGTATTTAATTCTAACGAAAAAATTTAGTTTCGTTTAGAATAACGCACTGTCATCCGCGATTTGGCTCTTATTGCCTATCTTATATATGTTAAATTTATATTTATATATTACAGAGCCTAGTTAAACTCTTAATTTATACACGCTGGCTTAAAGGCGTTTATTTACCAACATTAATATATATAACAGAGAAAAGTATAGAATCGAAAGGATCTGAATAGCTCAGTTGGAAGAGCAGTCGCCCGGCAAGCGAAAGGTCTCGGGTTCGATTCCCGATTCTGCGACTTTCGGATCTATATTTTTCTCTCGCACTTTATTTCTTTAGGGGGAATAGGGGATAATGGAATTAAAAATCTCTTGTAGAGATTATTCCAATTTTATATCTTGGCCGTGTCCAAGTAAAAATTTGGTGCCTTGTGCACAGGTATTTAATTCTAACGAAAAAATTTAGTTTCGTTTAGAATAACGCACTGTCATCCGCGATTTGGCTCTTATTGCCTATCTTATATATGTTAAATTTATATTTATATATTACAGAGCCTAGTTAAACTCTTAATTTATACACGCTGGCTTAAAGGCGTTTATTTACCAACATTAATATATATAACAGAGAAAAGTATAGAATCGAAAGGATCTGAATAGCTCAGTTGGAAGAGCAGTCGCCCGGCAAGCGAAAGGTCTCGGGTTCGATTCCCGATTCTGCGACTTTCGGATCTATATTTTTCTCTCGCACTTTATTTCTTTAGGGGGAATAGGGGATAAATGGAATTAAAAATCTCTTGTAGAGATTATTCCAATTTTATATCTTGGCCGTGTCCAAGTAAAAATTTGGTGCCTTGTGCACAGGTATTTAATTCTAACGAAAAAATTTAGTTTCGTTTAGAATAACGCACTGTCATCCGCGATTTGGCTCTTATTGCCTATCTTATATATGTTAAATTTATATTTATATATTACAGAGCCTAGTTAAACTCTTAATTTATACACGCTGGCTTAAAGGCGTTTATTTACCAACATTAATATATATAACAGAGAAAAGTATAGAATCGAAAGGATCTGAATAGCTCAGTTGGAAGAGCAGTCGCCCGGCAAGCGAAAGGTCTCGGGTTCGATTCCCGATTCTGCGACTTTCGGATCTATATTTTTCTCTCGCACTTTATTTCTTTAGGGGGAATAGGGGATAAATGGAATTAAAAATCTCTTGTAGAGATTATTCCAATTTTATATCTTGGCCGTGTCCAAGTAAAAATTTGGTGCCTTGTGCACAGGTATTTAATTCTAACGAAAAAATTTAGTTTCGTTTAGAATAACGCACTGTCATCCGCGATTTGGCTCTTATTGCCTATCTTATATATGTTAAATTTATATTTATATATTACAGAGCCTAGTTAAACTCTTAATTTATACACGCTGGCTTAAAGGCGTTTATTTACCAACATTAATATATATAACAGAGAAAAGTATAGAATCGAAAGGATCTGAATAGCTCAGTTGGAAGAGCAGTCGCCCGGCAAGCGAAAGGTCTCGGGTTCGATTCCCGATTCTGCGACTTTCGGATCTATATTTTTCTCTCGCACTTTATTTCTTTAGGGGGAATAGGGGATAAATGGAATTAAAAATCTCTTGTAGAGATTATTCCAATTTTATATCTTGGCCGTGTCCAAGTAAAAATTTGGTGCCTTGTGCACAGGTATTTAATTCTAACGAAAAAATTTAGTTTCGTTTAGAATAACGCACTGTCATCCGCGATTTGGCTCTTATTGCCTATCTTATATATGTTAAATTTATATTTATATATTACAGAGCCTAGTTAAACTCTTAATTTATACACGCTGGCTTAAAGGCGTTTATTTACCAACATTAATATATATAACAGAGAAAAGTATAGAATCGAAAGGATCTGAATAGCTCAGTTGGAAGAGCAGTCGCCCGGCAAGCGAAAGGTCTCGGGTTCGATTCCCGATTCTGCGACTTTCGGATCTATATTTTTCTCTCGCACTTTATTTCTTTAGGGGGAATAGGGGATAAATGGAATTAAAAATCTCTTGTAGAGATTATTCCAATTTTATATCTTGGCCGTGTCCAAGTAAAAATTTGGTGCCTTGTGCACAGGTATTTAATTCTAACGAAAAAATTTAGTTTCGTTTAGAATAACGCACTGTCATCCGCGATTTGGCTCTTATTGCCTATCTTATATATGTTAAATTTATATTTATATATTACAGAGCCTAGTTAAACTCTTAATTTATACACGCTGGCTTAAAGGCGTTTATTTACCAACATTAATATATATAACAGAGAAAAGTATAGAATCGAAAGGATCTGAATAGCTCAGTTGGAAGAGCAGTCGCCCGGCAAGCGAAAGGTCTCGGGTTCGATTCCCGATTCTGCGACTTTCGGATCTATATTTTTCTCTCGCACTTTATTTCTTTAGGGGGAATAGGGGATAAATGGAATTAAAAATCTCTTGTAGAGATTATTCCAATTTTATATCTTGGCCGTGTCCAAGTAAAAATTTGGTGCCTTGTGCACAGGTATTTAATTCTAACGAAAAAATTTAGTTTCGTTTAGAATAACGCACTGTCATCCGCGATTTGGCTCTTATTGCCTATCTTATATATGTTAAATTTATATTTATATATTACAGAGCCTAGTTAAACTCTTAATTTATACACGCTGGCTTAAAGGCGTTTATTTACCAACATTAATATATATAACAGAGAAAAGTATAGAATCGAAAGGATCTGAATAGCTCAGTTGGAAGAGCAGTCGCCCGGCAAGCGAAAGGTCTCGGGTTCGATTCCCGATTCTGCGACTTTCGGATCTATATTTTTCTCTCGCACTTTATTTCTTTAGGGGGAATAGGGGATAAATGGAATTAAAAATCTCTTGTAGAGATTATTCCAATTTTATATCTTGGCCGTGTCCAAGTAAAAATTTGGTGCCTTGTGCACAGGTATTTAATTCTAACGAAAAATTTAGTTTCGTTTAGAATAACGCACTGTCATCCGCGATTTGGCTCTTATTGCCTATCTTATATATGTTAAATTTATATTTATATATTACAGAGCCTAGTTAAACTCTTAATTTATACACGCTGGCTTAAAGGCGTTTATTTACCAACATTAATATATATAACAGAGAAAAGTATAGAATCGAAAGGATCTGAATAGCTCAGTTGGAAGAGCAGTCGCCCGGCAAGCGAAAGGTCTCGGGTTCGATTCCCGATTCTGCGACTTTCGGATCTATATTTTTCTCTCGCACTTTATTTCTTTAGGGGGAATAGGGGATAAATGGAATTAAAAATCTCTTGTAGAGATTATTCCAATTTTATATCTTGGCCGTGTCCAAGTAAAAATTTGGTGCCTTGTGCACAGGTATTTAATTCTAACGAAAAAATTTAGTTTCGTTTAGAATAACGCACTGTCATCCGCGATTTGGCTCTTATTGCCTATCTTATATATGTTAAATTTATATTTATATATTACAGAGCCTAGTTAAACTCTTAATTTATACACGCTGGCTTAAAGGCGTTTATTTACCAACATTAATATATATAACAGAGAAAAGTATAGAATCAAAAGGATCTGAATAGCTCAGTTGGAAGAGCAGTCGCCCGGCAAGCGAAAGGCCTCGGGTTCGATTCCCGATTCTGCGACTTTCGGATCTATATTTTTCTCTCGCACTTTATTTCTTTAGGGGGAATAGGGGATAAATGGAATTAAAAATCTCTTGTAGAGATTATTCCAATTTTATATCTTGGCCGTGTCCAAGTAAAAATTTGGTGCCTTGTGCACAGGTATTTAATTCTAACGAAAAAATTTAGTTTCGTTTAGAATAACGCACTGTCATCCGCGATTTGGCTCTTATTGCCTATCTTATATATGTTAAATTTATATTTATATATTACAGAGCCTAGTTAAACTCTTAAATAAATTTATACTTACTTCCGATTTGTAATAGTTTTGCCGGATAATAATTCGCCACTTTGTTTTTATTCGGCACTGGCCATTTGACGTTGACAGTTCTCTTTTCTAATATGATCTCTTTAAGATAAGCAATAGTATTTTCCTCCTTCTGTAACTCTACCGTTTCGTTCAAAATGATCCAATTCACCTCTCCAACCCCAATACGATTTTCTTCGAAGAATTCGAAGAGACCTGCCAATTTCTTTGGCCATGCTATTGGCATTTTACCTTTAAATGTAACAAATAATATAATAAGTAAAATTTAAGGTTTTCCTGAGTGTCTGGTATATTTTCATTAGCATTATATAAAAATGATATTTAATAAAGGTGGACAAAATTTTGTGCAATATGTATACATATATGTGACAAGTATGGCCAAGTCTAAATTGCTCTTTTCCCGCGTCTTCTTTTTGCTTAGAGAAATTATCAATTATCTCAGACAGCATACATGCCTAAAATACATTCTGAAATAACAGAATGTCCTACAAAAGTCTTCACGATATCCTTTGGATGTCTTTTGATATGCATGCTGTGTGCTGTTAGGATATTATGATAGTGAAGAATATTTTCTTAATTCAGAAAATTGTTCTCATTTACCTTCTATTCGCCGCTTTTGGCGTAGCCTCTTATTTCCTTAATTAATTCCTCTGCAGCCCACGATCGTCTCGCAGAGATGATAATGGGCGTTGTTTTGCGTGATTTTCAGGTCCGCGTCACAAATATAGTCTCCGTGTTCCGTGTGTCGCACTTTTGTATCACTTGTATCTTGTATCACTTCGTTCAATTTAACAAATAATCCGAAATTCTTCGTGGTTTTCACTTTTTATTACACTTTTCACCATAAATTTCGTCCTCGCTGGCTTACCTAACCTATACTCTGTACCGAAACCGCCGAACGAATATTGCTCAACCTGAACCGTGTGATTACGAAAAGATCGATTCTTGAATCGATTCTCTCAAGCCGGCTAAGAGCCAATAAGGCTGTGTTTCTTTTGGACGCTCATGCGCTGAAAGCATCTCTATCTTTGTTGTTCATCATACATCAAAAAAGAATAGAATGATGCTTTCAGCGCGTGAGCGGTCGAAAGGAATGCAGCCAAGACTGACACCGACTCGCGGCAAAATCAGCTGTGTTTATTAGATTTATTGTGTTTGTTGTCGATCGATCACGGAATGTGTAAGTATTTTAATTAATTCATATAATGTATAATAGTTTATTGACTGTAAAATGAAAAATACATAAATGTAACTTGAAAATTACATAAATTTAATTTGAAATTAAACAATCATATATAGTAGGCCAACTAAACGAGCAAATAAATAAGATGTAAAAAATTTTTTTATTAATAGTTAAATCATTAAATTAACATTCCGTTACAGAATCGATATAAATTGTAAACGTTTCGACTGCACTACAGTCTTTATCAATACATAAAAATTAAATATTAAAATATAAAGTTAGATGTTAAAAATACAAAGTTAGTTAAATATTAAAATATAAAATTGAAACGATTCTTCGCTGTTGACCAATAGATATGCAAGGCGATTGGTCTGAGATGCCAAGTTATGCGACATTTGAGCATGCTACGGATATAATACGCGAATTAAATCAATGTCAAAAAAAATTAAAAAATCTTTCAACTTACATTATCATTTTAACAAGTCCTTTTCCCCGATATTTCAAGTGTGTGTTGCGAAGTCTGAATACCAAATGTCAAAATAGAGAGCGTGATGTATTTATTTATTACCAATGTTTTTTCTAAATTATGATTCAGCAAATTTTTTAAGTATGTCAAAATAACTACTGTCTAACAATTCGGTGTCTGTATTTAAATTAATTCCATTTTTCTGTTCTTTAATGTGGATCATTTCAGATATTAGTCTTTTTTGGTAATTCTTTTCATGATCCATAATTTTAATATTGTCCCAGTCAAATGTATGTTGTTCGTTTAGAATGTGTTCCGTGATAACCGAATGTCTAGCAGAGTCTAATTTAATATTATTTTTATGTTCTTTAAGTCTCGTTCCTAACTGTCTTTTTGTCTGTCCGACATATGTGGCGTCACAATCGTTGCAATTCAATTTGTAAATAACGTTAGAATTCGTGGGGCAATTATTTTTGTCCTTTTGAACTCTTATGAAGTCATTTAATTTTTTAATGCAACGATATCCTACCACTACGTCAGGTCTTCTTATTGCTGAAGCAACTTTCTCAGATATTGATTCTATATATGGTATGACAAAATATTTAATGTTAGTATTAGTATTATTAGTATCTGTTATATTGTTATTATTAGGCTTGTTAAATTTCTTAGTTGAGAGATTTTTTAATCTGCGTTTTATTTCTGTGAAAATTAGATCAAGAGGATAACCGTTGGATAGCAAAATGTTAATAGCTTTCTCTATATTTTTTTTGTGAAATTGCGGATGTGATAGTAATAAAGCTCTATCTACCAAGTTATAAATTGTTCCTATTTTATGACAAGTCGGATGATTTGAAAAAAATGAAAGTAATCTACCTGAGAATGTCTTTTTGTGATACCAATCTAAATAAATTTTGTTATCTATTACTTTGATCATTATGTCTAAAAAGCTTATACAACGATTATCCTCCTTTTCCAATGATGATGATGAATTGTTAGACAGTAGTTATTTTGACATACTTAAAAAATTTGCTGAATCATAATTTAGAAAAAACATTGGTAATAAATAAATACATCACGCTCTCTATTTTGACATTTGGTATTCAGACTTCGCAACACACACTTGAAATATCGGGGAAAAGGACTTGTTAAAATGATAATGTAAGTTGAAAGATTTTTTAATTTTTTTTGACATTGATTTAATTCGCGTATTATATCCGTAGCATGCTCAAATGTCGCATAACTTGGCATCTCAGACCAATCGCCTTGCATATCTATTGGTCAACAGCGAAGAATCGTTTCAATTTTATATTTTAATATTTAACTAACTTTGTATTTTTAACATCTAACTTTATATTTTAATATTTAATTTTTATGTATTGATAAAGACTGTAGTGCAGTCGAAACGTTTACAATTTATATCGATTCTGTAACGGAATGTTAATTTAATGATTTAACTATTAATAAAAAAATTTTTTACATCTTATTTATTTGCTCGTTTAGTTGGCCTACTATATATGATTGTTTAATTTTGTTTAATTTATACGAGCCTTTCATTAATTAATTTTAATAAACGCTGGCCTTATAATGCGTGTGACTAATTACCCGTTTAAATACCATCGTTTTAATTCTAGTTTTATTTATAACTATTTTGGTCTAGAAACGTTAAAACATTTTAAATCTTGGCTAAATTTTAATTATGCGATAATTAAGGCAATGTCGAAGTTGAAATTTTTAAGGGAATGTAAGAGATATTGTTTGTTTCCCAACCATTTGCGTAATTTCTGTAATAATAAATTTGTTTTCTACCACTATAAATCAAAAAATAGGATGCGTGGTTTGTTGCATAATATCAAAACTGAAATTCTTAACATAGAGATATTTGATTTATATAGAACTTTAAACTCACTTAATAAAAAACGGTCAAGACAATTCCAAATTCTCCAAAATCTTTTACCATCTTATATCTGGCAGGAGATTTTAAATCACCATTGCAACTCCTTTTCTTTGTTCAACCAAAAATTATATCTCATACATAAGAAAAAATTCCTATGGCTACGTAAATCGCATGAAACAGAGTACATTAAAAATATTGATCCTATCGAATTAAAAACAACATCTTCGACAAATATTGTTGATAACACTGTTTCTGCCAACAGTTTTCGTTATGCTACACATAACCCTTTACAACAAACTAACCAGAAATGGTTTATTAATTTAACTGATAAAAAAATTCCCCCCAATGTAACCAATCTATTACAATTGGGAGGTGAATTTAGTCTCCCAGTTAAATTAAATAAAAAAGTAGCTATACACGAATTCATCAAAGATATAGAAAGCAATTCTAACGGGATCAGAAATCTTACTTCGATTCGTAATGCTGCCATTCCACAATTTTCATTATTTTTAAACAATAACGACAAAAAAACGGACATACAAGAAAAATTATTTCACATGCATAAAGACACAATTAAATTCTGCAATCAAAATCCTAATATTTTATTTACCAGAGCAGATAAAGGCAGCATTACAGTCGCACTAGAAAAAGAATTTTATATAAAAAAAGTTGAGAGTCTCCTAGAAGACGATTCTACGTATACCATAGTTAAAAACAATCCATCAACAAAAATAGAAAAAGACCTCAATATTTGTTTAAAAAAATGGTTGAAAAAAGACTTCATCAACAAAAAAGAATATTATTATTTATTTTCAAGCGACTCTCTTCTTCCTAAAGCTTATGGGCTCCCCAAGATCCACAAGGAAAATATTCCTTTTAGATTAATAGTTTCCTCAATAAATACTTCTCTATATAATATTGCTTCTTTCTTTCATAAAATTTTAAAAGATAGCCTTCCTAGAGCGGACAGTTTTGTAAATAACGGTTTTGATATATGCAACATTCTATCAGGGAAAACAATACAAGATACCGACATAATAGCTTCATTGGACGTTGTTTCATTATTTACTAATGTTTCCGTAGATCTTGCATTAAACGGTATCAATAATAGATGGCATTTTATAGAGTCACACACAAAGATTCCCAAAAATGAATTCATAGGTATGATAAAATTTATATTAACTTCTACATTTTTCACTTTTAATAACATAACTTACAAACAAATTTATGGGACTCCTATGGGTTCCCCACTTTCTCCGATCATTGCCGATATAGTCATGCAGGACTTGGAAACATCAGTAATTAGTAATTTAAATTGCGAAATGACTTTCTATTTCCGTTATGTAGACGACATTATTTTATGCACTTCCGCTGACAATATTACATATGTTTTGAACGAATTCAACAATTATAACGATAGACTACAATTTACATTGGAAAAGGAGGATAATCGTTGTATAAGCTTTTTAGACATAATGATCAAAGTAATAGATAACAAAATTTATTTAGATTGGTATCACAAAAAGACATTCTCAGGTAGATTACTTTCATTTTTTTCAAATCATCCGACTTGTCATAAAATAGGAACAATTTATAACTTGGTAGATAGAGCTTTATTACTATCACATCCGCAATTTCACAAAAAAAATATAGAGAAAGCTATTAACATTTTGCTATCCAACGGTTATCCTCTTGATCTAATTTTCACAGAAATAAAACGCAGATTAAAAAATCTCTCAACTAAGAAATTTAACAAGCCTAATAATAACAATATAACAGATACTAATAATACTAATACTAACATTAAATATTTTGTCATACCATATATAGAATCAATATCTGAGAAAGTTGCTTCAGCAATAAGAAGACCTGACGTAGTGGTAGGATATCGTTGCATTAAAAAATTAAATGACTTCATAAGAGTTCAAAAGGACAAAAATAATTGCCCCACGAATTCTAACGTTATTTACAAATTGAATTGCAACGATTGTGACGCCACATATGTCGGACAGACAAAAAGACAGTTAGGAACGAGACTTAAAGAACATAAAAATAATATTAAATTAGACTCTGCTAGACATTCGGTTATCACGGAACACATTCTAAACGAACAACATACATTTGACTGGGACAATATTAAAATTATGGATCATGAAAAGAATTACCAAAAAAGACTAATATCTGAAATGATCCACATTAAAGAACAGAAAAATGGAATTAATTTAAATACAGACACCGAATTGTTAGACAGTAGTTATTTTGACATACTTAAAAAATTTGCTGAATCATAATTTAGAAAAAACATTGGTAATAAATAAATACATCACGCTCTCTATTTTGACATTTGGTATTCAGACTTCGCAACACACACTTGAAATATCGGGGAAAAGGACTTGTTAAAATGATAATGTAAGTTGAAAGATTTTTTAATTTTTTTGACATTGATTTAATTCGCGTATTATATCCGTAGCATGCTCAAATGTCGCATAACTTGGCATCTCAGACCAATCGCCTTGCATATCTATTGGTCAACAGCGAAGAATCGTTTCAATTTTATATTTTAATATTTAACTAACTTTGTATTTTTAACATCTAACTTTATATTTTAATATTTAATTTTTATGTATTGATAAAGACTGTAGTGCAGTCGAAACGTTTATAATTTATATCGATTCTGTAACGGAATGTTAATTTAATGATTTAACTATTAATAAAAAAATTTTTTACATCTTATTTATTTGCTCGTTTAGTTGGCCTACTATATATGATTGTTTAATTTTGTTTAATTTATACGAGCCTTTCATTAATTAATTTTAATTTGAAAATTATAATTATATATGTAAAAGTCCAATAATCTTTCAATTTTCAAAATTTAAAGGTTATGCAAAACAAGATAAATTAAAAATTGATATATATGGCTAATTACAATAAAAAACGATACTTGGCTTACTTATGGGCAGACGGTATTCCAATGCCCAAAAGAACTCGAGATCGTCGGCAAAGAAATGATGATAATGAAACGAATGATAATATTGATGATCAACATGCAGAAGATCAATTGCGTATTAATAATAATGAAATAATGAATCAAGAGCAAGCCGATATGTATGATGATGACAATTGTGAACTACGAGCTAACCAATTCGATAACTTTAATGTTGATGATGATAATAATGGTTACGACGATGACAATGATCGAGAGAATTTGGCAGATAATGATTATTATCGATTATCATTGGACAGTGATGATGATATTAGCGTCACAAGTGAACAGGCAGTATGTATTGTGTGATTTCTAGAAACCTATATGACATGGATAAAGCTAGATTCACACTATATTCGGTATGTTCCCCATACAGAATAAATAAAGGCCAAAAGATATCTTATAGATGTCTAAAAGACTCCGTTCTGCAAGCTTTTCATTTAATTTGAGAGAACAATTGAATATATTATACAATAATTTAATATTATACAATAAATTTAATACGAATCCATCAAAATAAACAATCAAATACTTGAATAACAGAACTAGTCTATGTCGAATCTAGCTTAATTTGGCAAAAATCACAAAAGCCTTAAATATTTTATATATGAATTATTGTATTGACAAGTATATAAAGTGTAAAAGCGATACACACACACATACATATACATATATTAATATATATATATATATATATATATATACACATATATATTAATTATTAGGAGCTCTTGCACTGCAATATTACATACATAAAATATTTATAAAATGCATGTCTCATTCAGATAAATGAAATCATTCAGGAAAATGAAGCTGATTCTCATCAGCTTGCAGAAAATAATCGTTTTGATGACGAGATTCATGATGATAATGTCGATAATAATGATGATGAGGTATAATATATTTTAATTATATATTTTATCGACATGCTATAATAATCTATAAATAAGAGTAGAAATACTTAACAATATAGAGTATATCCATGACTATATATTTATATATGCATGACTATATAATTCTATTAATTGTTATAAAATTTATATTATAGGGGCAACAGAAATTGTATTGCGGAGCACGGATCACGAAGCGTGAAAGCGAATTTCTTATCATGTCTTTTTTTTTAAGATATTCTCTTCCAGATAGAAGTTGGAAAAACTTTTTAAAATTAATTGATTGCCATTTGCCAGAGTCAAAGTATTCTACGAAATATCGGTTTTTCAAAAGATTTCCAAAAACAAAAGACTTTGATAAGCATTATTATTGCGCAATATGTGAAGACTATTTGGAGATTCCAAATAATAATGAACAAGTATTGTGCACATGTGGAGCTGTAAATAATAAAAAAGAACTAGAGAAGAACGAAAAATTTTTCCTTGCAGGCAAAATATCTGAAAAATTGAAAGATATTTTAACTGATAAAAACGTCGTTAGTCATCTTCGCAAAAGTGAAGCTAGTGGAGTAACGTCAGGCAGAATATATAAAACGCTGCAAAGAAACGGAGTAATTGGAGAAAATGACATAACTCTGCAGTTCAATACCGACGGTGCGAATATTTTTAAGTCGTCAAGAAAATCACTCTGGCCAATACAAGTGGCGGTGAACGAGTTACCTTATCAAATCTGAAGAAGTAATATGATTTTAGCTGGACTTTGGGTTGGTGACGGTTCACCTCGAATGGATGTGTATTTCAAGCCCTTTATAAAAGAGATAACACAATTACACGAAGAGGGAATTATGTGTCCTATTCTTAAAAGGGAAATGTCAACATCAAAGTTCATACTTTGATCGCAATTCTTGACTCCACTGCTAGACCGAAGGTTAATAATATTCAAATTTATCTATAATTATATAAACGCTCATATATGTATATATGGCGCATTTCATTTTACATCGATGAAGATTTTCGAATTACCTCGTTGAAATTTCCCGTGATTTTTCATGTAATACTGTTATATAAAGTATCATTACTGAATTATTTTCAGATTTTTTAGTCCTTTCTTTGGTTCCAGAAATTTTAGAAAATTCAAGTGAAAACGATTGTTATTTGTTCAACTCGTAATGTCTTTTAAACTATTACAGATATAGAACCAAAATTGCTCAGAAAAAGATATTTTTAAGATGATATTAAGAAAAATTATGTTAATAATGTTTTCTTTACATAAATTAAAAATTATATTTAAAAATGGTTTTTTTTATGATCTTTCCCAAAATAAAAATTGCTTTTTTTTTTTACTGAAAATACGTTTATACTCAAAATATACAGGAAATAACAATTGGACCGTGATTTAGTAATAAAAAATTGAAGTCGCGCAAAAAAATTTATATATATTACTAGTAATATATGTAAAATTATTTTTGGATGCGCTATTTCAATTTTTTATTACTAAATCACAGTTCAAGTGTTATTTCCTGTATATTTTGAGTAACCGTATTTTCAGTAAAAAAAATAAGCAATTTTTATTTTGGGAAAGATCATAAAGTATAATCTTTTAATATTATTTTTAATTATTTGTAAGCAAAAATTGTTAACATAAATTTTGTATAAATACCACCTTAAAGATTATAGTTTTATGAGTAATTTGTATTGTATGTTTTTTCGACTTTTTATATACTCTAAATATATTACAACTTAAACAAAATAAACAATTTTTAATTTCAATATTTTAAAATTTCTAGAGCTTAATAAAGAACAAAAAATGAAAAAAAATTCAGTATTTGTATTTCATATAGTTATTACATGAAAAAATTAAATATTTCAAAGATACATACAATACATTTGCAGATACAGGAATTTAACCAATTCAATGGCGAGGGTGGATGTCCATTTTGTCTCAATCTCGGAGAGACAATGGAAAAAGGACGTGGCTACATTCGCATTTACCGGCCATTTATTGGGACTCTTCGAACTTCCCAGCAAGTGTTGATTGACGCAGAAAATGCTATTAATCAAAATGAATCTGTCAATGGAGTAAAAGGATTTTCCCCATTATCAATAGTGCCTATTTTTGATGTTGTTCGGTCATATGTTCCGGACTACATGCATGCCAATCTTTTAGGAACAATACGAACCTTTTGCGAAATATGGTTTAATAGTACTTATCATAATCGACCGTGGTATATTGGTAACAAAAGAAATGAAGTAAACCAACGGCTTTTATCAATAAAACCACCTACGGAAATACGACGCACACCTTCGAGCATAGAAAAGCGAGCTTTATGGAAAGCTACGGACTGGCGAAATTTCGGGATGTACTACTCATTAGTAGTTTTACGCGGTATATTGCCAACTAAATACTATGAGCATTGGTTTTTGTTAGTCTTCACTTTGCGTTTACTATTAAAAGAGAACGTAACTAAAACTGATATTGACGAAGCTAAGTTAAGTATTCACAAATTTGTGGAACTAACGGAAACTTTATATGGGCCAGAATTTTTGTTATTTAATTTGCACCTCCATTTACATATGCCAAGATGTGTTAAAGATTGGGGTGCACTGTGGGATAGTTCGGCATTTATGTATGAACATGGCAATGGCATTCTAGTGCAACTTTTCCATGGTACAGGATCTGTCATATCTCAAATTTTTAAGCGTTATGAACTCACAAATTTCCTTCAAAAAACAGGTCCAACTGTTTTTAGTGCGAACACATTTACTCCAGCAATTGATCTGTTTGGACAGCTCGTTGGAGAGGAATATTTTGTTCAAAATGCGATAAGAGAAAACGAAGATTTGGTTCTATTTGGTAGTAGTAACGAGTTTGTTCTGACCCAAGAAACTTCACTGTTAATTGAGAACTTATTGGGGTATAATTTTATTAATCAAAATAACAAAATTCAGGTTTCTAGTTTCAAAAGATTTATCTGGAAACATACAATGTTTCACTCTACATCGTACGCGCGATTAACTAAAAGACTGAATTCCATTGTAAAATTATCAAATGAAAAAATACTCCAAATTGATCATTTATTGCGTATTCGCATTAATGAAGAAAAATATTTTGTTCTCATTGGTCAACAGCTAATACTGAATACTGGTGTAATAGTGGCCAATTACTCACCATTAAAAATATCCAGCTCTAAGTTTTTAAATGTAGTAAAAATAAGTAATGGCCGCGTTTTTTGTTGTATGGTTAATGATATATATGAAAAATGTCTTTGCATGAATATCAATGGTATAACGTATGTAAGCACATTAATTAATAAATCAGAAAAAGATTAGAATTAATAGATTTTTTTTAGATATTTTTATACAAATAAGGCTCATTGAATAAATATGTATCAAAGACATGTACAAATAAAATATATATTCAGTTATGCACGCACAATTATTATATATATATATATAATTGAATGTTTTATATTGCTATATATATATAATAATATGTATTATGTACACACTATATTCAATGGCAAAATATATCGTATACTCTACTGATACTCTACTCGAATGATTTTTATCTTCTAATATATACCGTATATATAAAACATAAAAATATATAGCAAAATATATTACACCACTACGAATGATATATTCCTATTGACATAAATTCACTGGCAAAATATATTACTACTGATCGAATAGTACTCCTATTGATGAGTATCCAATGGTAACTAATATATACTATTGATCGAATGATATTCTTATTGAGATACATCCAATGGTAAAATATTTTATCACTGACCGAAGGATTTTCCTATTAAACACCTCAAATAGTAAAATCATTTATTAATGACAATGTTATTGAGTTTGTATGATTTTATCATTAGTTCAAATGATTTTACCATTAATCTGAATGATAATACCATTCACACTTTTCGCGACGGGGCGTACGATGTATTTTGTTTATATTTGGCGGTATATTGATGTGCAAAGCAAGAATAAACGTATATATAGCTAATTTAAAATTTTATTTCGGGTTACATAATAGAATTATATTTATAATTAGAACAACCTGAGAATTTTAATTATAATCTTAATTTTCGTGCATTATAAAGTAAAATAATTTATGTAAAAAAGATGTGTCAGTTCTCTTAAATATGTAGTATTGAGAATACATCTTCGTACGCTAAAAAAAAAATTTGTTAACTTGATTAAACCTTTTACCAAATTGCTATTTTGTTAATTGAACATACATTAGTATTTAAGTCAAATATAAGTACGTGTTTTGTTAGATTTAATATATTTTATTTGAAACCGACACAATAACATAGTTAATTGTCTCACATTATATCTTGTCACATTCTAAGATCAAAGATTAAGTTTTTTATAAAAATTATGTTTTAGGTAGGTTTACATATTATTGTATGGAAATATTTATTGTTTTATTACATTTACTTTGTTACTTTTTAATTTTTAATTTTCTAATAATTGTCATTATTATATATTGCAGCACTTGATAAGGGCCGAAACGTGAATATTAAATAAATATCACTTAATTTGCCAGAGTTGGTTGATTAAATTACTACCATTTTTTAATTTTCATCCGGTGACTTCAGAGTTTTTTACATCTTATATTTTATTTGATTTAAATATTTTGATATGTTCAGTTAACAAACTAATATTTAGTTGAAAGGTTTACTCAGGTTACCAAATTTTGTTCAATATACTTTTCGTCAACGTTTATCTATTAACATTCTTGTAGTCGAAAATAGACATTGAATAATATGACAGAATTCATCTTTGCTTCTGGACCGCAAACCAGTGTTTCCTGAATGTAGTTTTCCAATTTCTCACGTCATCCGTCATTCATCTACGCTTCTGTAATTTAGAACGGTAATTGCCAGACGGCGCAAAACGCGTCCTGGTCGTCAACTTCCCGATCTAATTACGCTTGACCGTGAGCCCAAAATTAGATTTTGCGTAACTCGCGACAGAATAAGTAAACCAGACGGTGACGAGAAGCAATTCGAGGCAGCACTTAGACAGCGCGAAACAGAGTTAATTCGAGGGGAACGGACGATTTCGAACACTATATCGCGCCCTGAATAGATACGGGCGCGTTCGAAGATCTTTCTCTCCGCCTCTCGTCGCGTACCCCAGTAGTCTCTTGAAGGGCAACACACTCGTCGTGGAACCCCTCGGTGGCACGTGCGAAGGGCCCGGCAGAGATTGGGGTCGGAGCCGACGGAAGTGTCGGCGAAGGCTCGAAATAAGGTCGGGGGACAAACGACTCTCTGAATTTTCACGACATATGGGACATTCGCATCTGTGTGTACATACATACAGGGTGTTCGATATAGATGAGCTATCCTCTACTGAAATTTGTACATTTTTTTTCAACAAAAGTGCTGAGAAATTAATCGTTTATGAATTGACAGATGAAAATGGCGAATTAGGATCAACTGAATTTCAGGAATGCGGACAAAATTTTATTGAATTAATTTTAAATGAGTATTATATTTTAACGGCATTTTAATTTAGTTTATTTATCAAATTATTTAATATTAAAATACTACAAAATTAAATTTTTGCGCAAACATAGATGATCAAATCTTATAGTCTTCGACAAGAGGATTATGGTACAAATTCTCTTATTTTACTGAACACCCTGTATATGATTCTACACATGACGTACATGACATCCCTCGGAATTGCTTTCTGAGCGTTACGTTACGAGAATGATTCGGCGAGAAGATAATGACGCATCTTGTATTTCGTTCAACGTGAAAGCATTTGAATTACATATAAAAACCCTATCAAGTCAAGTATGACATTATCTAGATTTTATTATATTTTTTTATTTATCATG